AGCTTTTCCATACCACCTGCATTATTGGAATAAACGCTTATATATGATTCAGCCCTGTTTCTGCTTAATTGACACAAGTAGTGACAGGTAGCCCAGACCCCTTGGTTGTCCGGTTAAAAAACAAACCTTACAAGAATAGGATGACTTATTATTCAGAAGAGAATCATAATCTTTAAAAATTCAACCTTTCCTTGCTCATATTTATACTTTTTGTTATTGTTGTAGATTATATTTAACACTTTGTATAGGACTAATCTTTATGGACAATAGCTTTCCTATTTAAAGAGACAGCTTTTTTAGGGACTTAATAGTTTAAAACAAATTTAAACATACTATAGTCAGACATTTAAAAGGGATACTAAATGATAGCTGACATTTCTTTGATGTGTTTCTTTATATATCCCAAATGTTCCCTTTACTTAAATATTATAATTTCTGAATATTTTTATTGTGAGTCATATTTTAGAATTTGGTATGATAGGGATCATCCTAATATATAAAAATACAGGGTCTGTAATGACTGACTGAAGGCTTGACCGAACACCGGAAATCAGCACTGACTGCCACCTGTGTGGACGCAATGAAGTAGCACTGACTGTTGAGTGGGCTGCGGATCAGGTCCAGAGGGAGGCTCGGAGAGAGAGGCAGGGTCTGATCTGCAGCCTCTGTGGCAGCTGTTGATCATCTGTTGCCTTTCTCTTTCTCTCTGGACTTTGCCAGCAGCCGCACCTCCATTTCTCTCCAGGCCTCCTCGGGGGCTGCTGATCAGCCCTGCCTCTCTGATCAGGCCTGGAGGTAGGCCCAGAGACACTGACTGGCATAGAAACCGACCAATCAGAACCAAATCTGGGTGAACTGTGAGGAGCCAATGGCTGCCTAGGAGGCAGAGCTTTTGATGCTGACTGGCATAGAAACTGACCAATCAGAACTAAATTGGCCATCAGGAGAGGACAGTTGGCAGTGAGATCAGTCCTGCAGGTGAGGGCAGTTGGGGGTGAGATCAGGTTAGCAGGGAAGGGTAGTTAGGGTGATCAGGCCACCAGGGGTGGGCAGTTGGGGGCATCAGGCAGATAGGCTGAGAGGTTAAGGGCAATCAAGCAGGCAGGAAGAGGGGTTAGGGGCAATCAGGCAGGCAAAGGTCATTAGGGGTGATCAGGTAGGCAGGCAGGTAGGCAGGTTACTGGTTAGCCAGTGGTCCCAGATTAAGAGAGGGAATGTCTGACTGCCAGTTTAGGCCTGATCCCACAGCGTGCCCAGTTGGAGAGGAGGTAGGCTGGGCTGAGGGAACCCACTCTCTGTGCACAAATTTTTGAATATAGTTCTTAAAATGAATAACCAATTTAGTATATCAGTTTCTCTCATTTCTTTTTTTAAATGTTAATTATATTTTATTATCTTTTATTTCTTCTGTAGTAAGCGTCTTTTGTAATTATATAGTCTTTGATTTCCCCTCTGCAGGTCTTTCCCAAACTATATAGGGCTATGCATATCCTATATAATAAAAGGCTAATATGCAAATTGTCCCCTTGACCAGGAGTTTAATAAGGAATTGGACCAGGGGGTGGGACTGGCTGGCCAACTGTCCACAGCCCCTCCCCCCGGCCGGCCCAGCCCAATCAGCCCTGATTGGGGCGGGCCTGCTGGATTCCACTTGTGCATGAATTCGTGCACTGGGTCTCTAGAATGCCTATAAGTTCATTGTTTAATCTCCCCCCTCAGTACATCAGTGTGTTGCATTTTATTTTTTTTAATTTTATTTATTTTTTATTTTTAATTTTTAAAAAAATATATTTTATTGATTTCTCACAGAGAGGAAGGGAGAGAGATAGAGAGCTAGAAACGTCAATGAGAGTGAAACATCGACCAGCTGCCTCTTGCACACCCCCTACTGGGGATGTGCCCGCAACCAACGTACATGCCCTTGACCGGAATTGAACCTGGGACCCTTCAGTCCACAGACCAATGCTCTACCACTGAGCCAAACTGGTTTCGGCAGTGTGTTGCATTTTAGATTCTCTTATTTATTAAAGTACAGTTTTATTTACACTATAATATTTATCTAGAAAAGGATAGTTCTAAACTGAATAAAATTTTCTCTACTAATATCCTTGTATTTTTTCTAAAGTATTGAGAACCACAGTTGAATTTTCTTTTTTAAATACATTTTTATTGATTTCAGAGAGAAAGGGAGGGAAGGCAGGAGGGAGAAAGAAAGAGAGAGAAACATCAATAATGAGGGAGAATCATTGGTCAGCTGCCTCCTGCACATGTCTGCAACCCAACATGTCCTCTTAATCGGAATTGAACCCAGGACCCTTCAGTTCTCATGCTGATGTTTTATCTACTGAAACAAACCACTGAGGCAAGTTTTCTTTAACAATTAATTTTATAGCGATTTCTAGTGTGAGGTCAGGTAAAAGAAATCTTGAGACTCATTACTGGTCCTTTATTGTCCCTATTCCCATTTCAAATCCATTTGTTTAAGGAGGGTTCTATCAGGCATCAGATATAAAAACCAGACAATAATGGGATCCTTAGAGATTTAATCATGCAAGGAGGTAGGAGAATGTCTCTGCCCTCCCCTCCTCACAGTAAGTGTTGTATTAGGTGACAGAGTTCCTTTCCCTTCTTTCTTCACTTAAACTCTGAGTTCAGGTGTTGTACTATTTACTATTTCTGTTTTTTAGATCATAAATACAATATAATAATTATTATAATACTTTTTTGTGGTGGTTTTAATAAAAATGGATATTTTAAAAGGTTTCTTGAAGTATTTATTGATAGAAAAGCTTAGTTATCTGAACCCTTTGGCATGTTAGTATTGTGGATACAGACTGTGTAATCGAGTAAAATAAAAAACAAAAAAAAATAGGTTCAGATTCTTCTACTAGGAAGAGTTACTTATACATGGCAAGTACTTAAATTTTCTGAGCTTTCAGTTCTTCATGTTTGAAGTAAAGAGAAAAAAAAAACTATTTTTTATTTTTAAAATATATTTTATTGATTTTTTACAGAGAGGAAGGGAGAGGGATAGAGAATTAGAAACATCGATGGGAGAGAAACATGGATTAGCTGCCTTCTGCACACACCCCACTGGGGATGTGCCTGCAACCAAGGTACATGCCCCTGACCGAAATCGAACCTGGGACCTTTCAGTCTGCCCACTGAGCCAAACTGGTTTTGGCTATTTTACTGAGTTTTCACAGAGAGGAAGGGAGAGATATAGAGAGTTAGAAGTATCGATGAGAAACATCAACCAGCTGTACATGCCCTTGACCGGAGTCCTCAGGCTGATGCTCTATCCACTGAGCCAAACCGGTTTCGGCAACCAAATTATTTTAAAGTTCTCCTGAGATCTGAAATTCTATGCTGTTTTGAACATTGTGAAAAGAACAGTGTCTCTATGTACCCTGTTTCCCCAAAAATAAGACAGTGTCTTATATTAATTTTTTCTCCCAAAGTTGCGCTAGGTCTTATTTTCAGGGGATGTCTTATCTTTCCATGTGCTAGGTCTTATTTTTAGAGGATGCCTTATTTTCGGGGAAACACGGTAGTAAAAATAGAGTATTTCTCTAAGTATTACAGTAAATATAATAAAGTATAAGGCAGGTCACATTTTTAACTTAAAAGTACTTTGACCTTTCCAAGTATTAATCTGTTGTTTCTCATAAAGAATCATTAAAGCGCTGCTAATGACATATTGATAACAGTACATGAAAACTTAAAAAATACAGTAATAGAAATTAAAAAATTATAATAATTTTGCTTGGGCCAGTCAATTGAGGGCCATATAGTAGCCTTGAGGGCATCAGTGTAGTGTAGCAAAGTACATCAGTTGTTCATAATAAAACTGGCTAACCAGAAGATGATATTCTTCTGTTTAAGAAGATACTAAGGTTACATAGTACATTCAATATGAACCACTCCAATTAAAATCTTTTTAAGCTTTAAAAATACACTTTAATTTTCTAAATGTATACCAACTATTTCCTTGATGCTATTATATAAAAATATATATATTACCACCAGTATATGTGCTGTTTTACTTATGGCATCTCTCATTATCATAGTTGCAATCTGAATGGTGCCTTTCTTGTTGGATTTAGCATTTGTCATTTGCCAATTACGAGTATATAATTTCTTATCAAGGACCTTTATGTTTATTGAAAAGAATAATGATTTCTTTAAAAAATATATATATTTTATTGATTTTTTTACAGAGAGGAAGGGAGAGAGCTAGAGAGCTAGAAACATCGACGAGAGAGAGAAACATCAACCAGCTGCCTCTTGCACACCCCATACCGGGGATGTGCCCGCAACCAACGTACATGCCCCTCACTGGAATCGAACCTGGGACCTTTCAGTCTGCAGACCGACGCTCTACCACTGAGCCAAACTGGTTTTGGCGAGAATAATGATTTCTTGAACTGGTTTGTAGTAATGTGTTTTTTTTTAAAGCTAAGATTTTTTAGTTGGTTTTAGAGGAGAGAGGAAGGGAGAAGGAGAGAGAGAGAAACATTGATCTGTTGCCTCTTGCACACACCCCAACCAGGGATCAACCCACAACCTGGGCACATGTTCTGATAGGGAATAGAATTGGTGAACTTTCGGTGCATGAGACAACACTCAAACAACTGAGCCACACCAGTGAGGGCCTGTATTTTTAATAATGACTGTAAAAGAGAAAGAAAGCATTTTTTGAGAAAAATTGTTTAAAATTTTAAGCACCCCAATAGCAGCCAATATCACAGTTAAAGCCATTGTAGTAGTAGGGTAATCTATGCAAATTAATAAGACACAAGTACTTTTAGAAATAAACAAACAAAAGAGAGTATCCAAAATATTCAAAATTTTGAATATTTACAGGTTGATTTCTAGGGTGGTATAGTTCTTATAGCTCACTTGTATTAAGATGAAAATGTTTGAAAATTCAACCTCTAAGAATATATTTGTTACTACAGACTTCAGTACAGAACAGTGTTTGTTATTTTGTGTGACAGGATACCCAGAGTTATATTGACGAATGTCCTGGGAACGGATTTAGGAAGAAAATACATAAAGACCTCTCCTGTAACTGAGGCCACTTTGGGTGATACAGACAACTTGCAATCAGAGCAGCTTTCTTCATCATCTGATGACAGCCTAGAATCTTGTCAAAATCTAAATCCTCACAAGAGCTTCTTTTTAAATGAAAGGTATGTTTAGTGATAACTTTACTCAACATAAATATTCTCTTGAGCCCTCCTCTATTCTTCCCCAACAGATATGCTATTACTAAATGTGAGGCAAATGTGCTCTGATGGCTAGTATGATGTTTTTCTCATGGTGGCTGCAATGGGTGTTGGAACCAACACTCCATGCATGGCTAATAACCAGTTTAAAAAACTATCAATTATTCCACTTGTATTTTGGGAAAATGGATACAGACTCTTAATGAAAATATAGTTAACTATTTGAGTATTTCAGTTAATTTTTCTGGGGCAATTGAAATCCATTCCCCTGACATCTGTATATTTCTCCTCCTTCTCTGTCCTATTCATCCATCTGTTATCCTGTTCTTCCATCCCTCCATATTGCCATATTTACTGCTTTTGTATCCAGATTCTAGAACTGTACATGGCACTTAGCTCTTAGTAAGTATCTGCTGAATGAATGGCTGAGTGCATTTCTCACAAAAATGATTTGAAATAGCTGATTCCATTAATAAAAGTGGCTTATTATACCAATAAGAGAAATGGAAATTGAAGTTGCTTTTTTTTTTTTTTTTTAAGTTCTAGAAGAGTGGGGATTGTAAATAAGAAAAAAAATATGGGAAAAAGCCAGGAGATATCAGTTAGCAGATACTAATAGATCTTTAAACTTTTACTTTATCATGAACTTCTCTTTTTACTTTTCTGCTTTCAGCCAATACAATAAATAGTCATGATCCAGTCTTACTTCCCCCCTTCCCCCTCCACCCCTGAACAACTCAGAGGTACCTTCTGGTTTGTATTTCTCTTGTAAGCCTTATTACATTAAAGAATATTTATAGTTGCCTCATTAAAGATCTACAACAAATTTCTTACATTTCTAACACATTTTATAAACTCACTTTATTTTCTTATGAACTTAAAAATTTTATGCATTTTTCTCCTTTAAGAAGATATTTTATGTTTTCACCAAGGATCTACTTAGTGAATTATCAATGACAATTTTAACTTTTTTACTCTAGTAGATCTCTTTCTGAACTTGCTGAAAAAAAAAAAGATGAGTTTCAGTGATATTATCTAGTTACTAATAAATTTGATGTATAATTAGAGATTATTAAAAGTACATTTATCATTTTATACTGTAGATGTTTATTTCTGCCTTCTCTACTGGACCATGAGCTCCTTAAGGATAGATACCATGTCTTATTTGCACTTATACCCAGTGGTTAGCTCAATACATTTTAATTTTGTGCACTTGGGTTAATGTTTATGCCATTTAACCTTGAGCTTTGGTTTCCTGAGTTGTAAAAACAAATAATTTTGAATGACTTTTTTACCTCACAAGATTGTTTATTATCTCTTTTAAATTTCATATGTGAGAATCGTATGCAAATTAGCCAAGATGCCATAATGTCAGAACCAATGTATAAGCTGCAGAGAGCTACAGGAGGGTGGGGCAGTGAGCTATGAGCAGGGAGCGCTGAAGGAGGGTGGGGCAACAGGCAGAGATCTACAGGAGGGTGGGGCAGTAGACAACGAGCTACAGGAAGGTGGGGCAATGGGTGGAGAGCTACAGGAGGACAGGATAGCAAGCCACGAGCACCAGTGGCAGTGGGTGGGGTGGCCAGCTGAGACAAGTGGCAGCGAGCTACTTGCTCATGGATTCGTGTGCTACTAGTATATGTATATGTATATGTATATGTATATGTATATGTATATGTATATGTATATGTATATACATATATCCTATCTAATAAAGAGGGAATATGCTAATTGACCTACATGCCATTGCAAAAATGGCAGTGCCTACAGCCAGTAAGGAGGGAATATGCTATTTGACTGCCACACCCTCAAAGATGGCAGTGCCTACAGCCACAAGATGGTGGTACCCAATCCCCTCATCCCCACCAGGGTGGTAGTGGTAGGCATGCAGCAAGGCTGGGACTTCCCCCAGGTGGGTCGGGCCAATCTGCATACCTGCCTCTGGAGTCTCCCAATCTCCTCAGCCCCCCAGCCGCCCAGGGTTGGCCCCAGGCACAGGCAAGCCTCAGATGGCAGCTGCCCAGCCACCCAGGGCTGCTCGAGGCTCAGGTAACCAGGGTCAGCCAAGGCTTGCGCTGCTGGAAGTGGCAGCAGCAGAGGTGTGATGGGGCATCGCCTTCCCCTGATTGCCGGGTTGCCTCCCGCCCCTGAGGGCTCCCGGACTGTGAGAGGGTGCAGGCTGGGCTGAGAGACACCCCCCTCCAGTGCATGACTTTTCATGCACTGGGCTTCTAGTGTTGTTATAACTGAAGGCTTACGCAAGACTTATGTCATTTGAGTTTCATGGTAATTGTTCATCATAAGTACCTAGATATGTAATCATAAGTAGTCATAGTGATTAAAATCATTTGCTCTGGCTCTACCAAAGCATTAGGGGTGATTTAATCATAGTGATTACTTATGATGTACTGTTATGGAATTCAAATGACATCAATACACATTCATGCTAATTGTGAGCATTCTATGAAACTATCATATTAAATGTACTTTTCAAGCTTTATACCAACTTGGGGTTAAGGTTTAATAATAATAAGTCAAAAAATTCTGGCTGTTCCTGAAACCTATAAAATAAGAGCTCTAGCTCTTCTCAAGTTTTTTCTAAATAGTTGTGATCAACAAAAGTTTGTTGCCACCAAGCTAATGACAAAGGAGTCCCCAATATGGGATATGGAAAGAGTAGAAACTTTATTCAAGGGAACAATTTGCAAACTAGGGAAAGACAGCCTCCACCAGACAAAGGGGAAGCTGTCTTTTATAAAGCATGCCCCTAGTTCCTAATTGGTTCAGAAGAGGAATCTAAATAGCAAAGTTCTGATTGGTCCATGGTCTTGATAGGTCAGATTGGTCATTATGATGGAGCAGTTCTGATTGGTTAGTATAGATGCAAATGAGGAGATAGTTGCATGGTTCTGATTGGGAGGGGCAGTTCTCAGACCGTTGATTGCAAGATGATACCATGAACTCATTCATGAGCGTTGATTCTATGGCAGGGGCAAGTGCAAGAAACCGAAGGTTAAGCCTGTTGCTTTTTCCTAAATGTGTGTATTAGAGGCTTCTGTTGCTAATGGCTGCTAGATTCTAGTTATGAATTTGTTACCAGTTAACCATGAGGGGTCCTTCTTGGAGGTATATTCTTCTTGAAATTCATTTTATGAAGTTTTCAGGTGGTATTTGATGTGGGCCTTGAAAGTTTATTCTGTGGGTGGTAATTTTCTTTGGTTCTTGCATTTGGAATGGGATACCAGAGGTGGGGAATATCTGGTCTGTGGGCCATATATGATCTGCAAAGTTATTTGATCTAACCCTGCCAAGGCATAAGTAATGAATTAGTTAAATGTTTGACCAAATATAGCAGGCTAATTTTTAAGTTGATAATTTAAATGGCCCTCCAATGATGTTATAAATATACAAACGGCCCTTGGCAGAAAATAGGTTTCCCCACCCCTGGTATAGACTTTGAAGACAGATACCTGGATTCAGATCTTAGCAGTATTCCTAACAATCTGGCTTACCTTGGGCAAGTTTATTTATTCTTTCTTTATAACAGGAGTAATGCACTCTTATATTACTAGAGGCCCAATGCATGAAAACTCATGCACTGGAGGGGGCGTCCCTCAGCCCAGCCTGCCCCCTCTCACGATTCAGGAGCCCTCAGGAGCAGGAGGCGACCCGCCCAGCAATGGAGGGGGGGCTGCCAACACCCCCATCACACCTCTGCTGCTGCCACTGCCGCAGCACAAGCCTCAGGCGGCCCTGGGCGGCTGGGCAGCTGCCATTAGCAGCTTGCCTGTGCCTTGGGCCAGCCCTGGGCAGCAGCTGCCGCCATCTGTGGTTTGCCTGAGCCTCAGTCAGTGGGGGAGAGGAGGATGCAGGAGGACCTGAGGCCCCCGGCAGGGCTGACGGGACTCCGACGGCAGGCATGTGGAGCGGCCAGCCCCAGCTGAGGAATGGAGAATACTCTCAACGAATGAGTTATAATTTCTAATTTGTTGGATACCACAGTCAGCCTTCAGCTTCGGGGGAGGGAGGAAGAGAGGGATGGGCAGCTTGTTGGAGGAGCTTGGGCGAGTTGTTAGTCAGTGGGGGGTGCAGGAGGACCTGAGGACCCTGGTAGGGCTAAAGGGACTCTGGTGGCAGGCGCCATCTTGTGATGGTCAATTTGCATATTACCTATTTATTATGTAGGATTATGCAGATTTAAGGAAATAAGCTATATTAGTATGTGATTAATAAATGATAGTCATTATGTGACTAATAAATGGTAGTCATTATTTGTGATTAATAAATGTTAGTCATTATTTTTCTTTTAAAAATATTTTTATTGATTTTAGAGAGGAAGGGAGAGGGAGAGATAGAAACATAAATGATGAGAGATAATCATTGATTGGCTATCTCCTACATGCCCTGTATTGGGGATCAAGCTTGCAGCCTGAGCGTGTTCCATGACTAGTAATCAAACCATGACCTCCTGGTTCATAACTTGATGCTCAACCAGTGAGCCATGCCTGCATGGCAGTCATTAATTTTCTGTATCTTAATCGCTGTTTATATCAAACACTCCATTAAAGGTTGTTATAGTCGATGATGCTTAAATTTTCTATGTTGGGGATACTAGTGTCTTATCTTGAGATTTTTTTTCTTTTTAAAAATCTCACCCAAGAATACCCTTTTATTGATTTGAGGGAGAGAGGAAGAGAGAGAGAGAGAGAACATTGATCAGGATCAAATCTGTAACCTATGTATGTGCCCTGACTGGGAATCAAACCTGCAATCTTTTAGTGTACAGGATAATGTTCCAACTAACCACGCTACCTGGCCAGGGCTCTTCCTGAGATTATTGTTACCTCTGTTGCTAATATCAATGCTGTGAAGGGCATTTGTAGTAGCCATACTAGTGTTACCTTTTGGTTTAAGAAACGAGGGTTATATAGTACATTTGGTTTGAATCCCAATTTAAAAAGTTT